GGGGTTTAGTGGGTTAGAGCAGGGGTCTGGGAGCCGGGACTCCTGGGTTCTGTTCAACTGATGGACTCTGTAGTGGCAGGCAGAGCCGTCCCTTTATGGGCCTCAATTTTCCCACCGTGGCTGGGCTGCGGAGCGTGGCTCCTGCTGCTCTCCATCTGCCGTGGCCCCCAGTGTGGGCAGGACGCACTGGGTGGCAGAAGCCCCAGCCCCCTGACTATAACAGGGTTCAAAAAAGAACTAGGATTGGTCCATCAATAGCTATTAGCCAGGGTGGGCAGCGATAGTGTCCCTAGCCTCTGTTTGCCAGAAGCTGGGCATGAGTGACAGGGAATGGATCAGTTGATGATTACCTGTTCTGTTCATTCCCTCTGGGGCACCTTGGTTTGGCCATTGTCAGAAGACAAGATACTGGGCTAGAGGGATCTGACCCAGTATGGCGGTTCTTATGTCCCCTGGACTCAACCAGCTGCGTGCAGTGGGATTCCATGACATACATGGCTCTGTGCTGCTGGGCGCTGACAAATCCAGGACACGGCCAGTGATTTATGGGCAGTACCAGGGCCAGACCTCCATAGGGCTGAGCAGGGAGGCTGGCTTGCTGCCAGGAGCAGAATTAGAAATGGCTGGCACAGAGCCGGGGGTCAGGGGAGTCACAACTCAGCTGGACACTGCACAGCCAGGGAGCACAGAGTGAGGAAGGGGGAGGTGTGGGCTGACCCCCACAGTGCCCCTCAATCCCAGCCCACAGCCCCTGCTATCCCAGCCCTGGGCTCCCCCTCAAGTTCTCTGACGATGCCCCTCATTTCCGACCCCCAGCACCTGCTGTGGCAGCTCCCCACCGCAGCCCCAGGTCCCTTGGCTGCTCTCTCGCTGTCACGCCTTGAGCCTGCAGATAGTGACGTGTTTCAGCGATAAACAGAAGTGGTTTGGGCCGGGGCTGGCAGGAGAGTCGATCTGCCTGGAGCAGAGCAGGCGCGGGGCACGGGGTTTTGGCTCTGCACCTGGCTTCCCTTTAATCACTGATTCAAGGACGGGGGAATTAGCCAGTGTTCCCTGGAGGGACAGTAAATCTAGCCCAGTAAACAGGGATGGGGGTCAACAGCCCTGGGGCGGGTGATGGGGTCCAAGGGGCAGCCCACCCTGCTGGGATGCAGCCAGCCAGGGAGCCCTCAGCCTGTGGGCCCCCTCCCCACATGAACACCACACACCAGGGCGTTGGTACCCGCTGCCCAGCAGGGAAGCACTGGGCCCCATGGGGCAGAGCTGTGGTTACAGAGGCAGAGCCAGTGCCATCACATCTGTGCCACAGGAGAGGGAGGATACAGGGTCCTGAACTGTGCCCCTGTGCCCAGGGCTCTGGGAATTTGAGATGCCCAAACCCCCACAGCCAGAGCCTTCTCATCCCCTCCACGGGGAGGGGGAAGGGGGGCACTGCCCCTTTTGTGGGACCCTGGACATCCCTGTTACCCAGAGAGAGGCGTGCTGCTTGCTGAGCCCAAGCCCGATGTGGTCTGGTGGTAGGGAGTTCCCCAGGGTCAGTGGGTGTTGTCTGAAATCAGCTTCCCTGGGAGCAGCCTGAAATGCATGGCTCTGTTTTACTGCTCACCCCGGCTCTGTATCGTCACTTGCCCACGGAGCCATGCGCCGAGCAGTGCCGCCCATAGAGCTGCCCAGGGACCTGTCTCTGAGCAGGGACATTTAGTGCAGACACAGGGAGGGGTCTAAGGAGGTCAAATGACATGCCCCCTCCTCCCCCCAGGTGGATGACTCTGTATCAGCCCCCGAGACCCACAGCTAGGCCATGGCCAGCCTTTCCCACAGCAGTTGCAAGACATTCTGGGAATGGCCTCTTGTGTGTCATTCCCAGGGGGCTTAAAGCATAATGGTAACACCACATTATTTAAATGTGACCCGAAGAGCCTCCCACCAGGCACCCTCAGCAGCGCCGGGGCTCTGGCCCTCCAGCACTGACCGCGAGCTGCAGGACTGACTGCGCTAGCTGGCAGCAGCAGGAGACTGTTATCCAGGCTGGGTGAGGATGGGCCATGAGGGGCAGGTACTCGGGGTGCTCAGGGCTCTCCCCCTCATTAGGGGCTCTCCCAGGGCACTGTCTGTTGCTGCTGCCGCTGCTTCAAGCGCGTTGGCGCGAGCCCGGCTCTTCACCATGTTCATGGCCAGTGATTAGTTCGGCTGCTGCCCCCTTTCCTCTGCGCTGGCGAAAGACGGGAACGGGTGAATTTTTAACATGTATTTTGGCCAAGCCCAGTGGATTTTCACTGGCAACAAAGGCACTGCTGGAGCCAGGGGCTTTCTGTGCCAGATAGCAAAGGCCTGCAGCAAACGGGGTGGGGTGGGGGGGTGACAAGAAAGGAATCTTTTAGCATGGAAGGAAGGTGTAAGGCAGCGTAAATACAGGGTGTTCCCCATTGCTCCTAACCAGGCACCCTGTGGTGCCCTGGCACCTGCTGTTCACCGGTCTCTGCTCAGGACAGGACCTGGCCCTCTCACGCGGGCACCACCTCAGCCTGGCCACCATGGCCCCTGGGATGACTCTTCGGGTGGCCAGGGCTGGGTGTCACCATGTTACCCCCTGCTGCCTCCAGCCACAGACAGACTTGCTGGTGCTTAGTTGGGGGTGCCAGCTCCCTGATCCCTCCAGCCTGGCAGCCACTTGGCCAGCCCACCCTTTGCCTTGTGGGTGAGCAACAGCTGGGCCTGAGCCCCTCAGAAAACCTCCCGCTGTGGGGTGCTGCCCCCTCTCCATTGCGCACGCCCCGTAATGCTGGGCCCCCATGGGACCGGGGCACACACCAGCGGGTCCAGTTCCGCTGCAGCCCCTTGCACAACAGCCCCGCCCTGAGCTCGGGTTCCAGAGAGCACACGGGGACGTTTAGTCCCAGAGAGGCCAGTGAGGAAGGACAGTGGCAACTAGGGTTACCATACGTCCGGATTTTCCCGGACATGTCCGGCTTTTTGGGCCTCAAATCCCCGTCCGGGGGGAAATCCCAAAAAGCCGAACATGTCCGGGAAAATAGGGGGGGGGCGGGGCCGCTGGGTGCTGGGCCGGGCCGGGGCCGGCGGTGCTGGGCCGGGGGTGCTGGGCCGGGGGCTGGCCCGGGCCCAGCGGTGCTGGGCCGGACCGGGCCCGGCGGTGCTGGGCCAGAGGCCGGGGGTGCTGGCCTGGGGGTGCTCGGCCGGGGGCTGGCCCGGGGGTGCTCGGCCGGGGGCTGGCCCGGGGCCGGCACCCCAGGGCCCGAGCCAAGCCAGGCTGGAGACGCTGGGACTGGGGCCGGCCGCCGGAGGGAGCCGCTCGGTTGGGGGGGCCAGACTGGGCCGCGCCTCCTCCCCCCACCCCCTCCAGCTTACCTGCTGCCTGCTTCAGGCTTCCCGCGAATCAAATGTTCGCGGGAAGCAGGGGAGGGGGCGGAGTTGGGGCGGGGACTTTGGGGAAGGGGTGGAGTTGGGGCGTGGGCGTGGGCGGGGCTGGGGCGGGGCCCCGTGAAGTGTCCTCTTTTTGGACACTCAAAATATGGTAACCTTAGTGGCAACAGACGGGTTCCACATAAAACAAAAGCAACACACGCTGTCTGGAGCCTGCCCGAAACCCACCTGCCCAGGCTAATCTGGCTACAGGAGGCGCCTCTCACCCGGACTTCCGTGGCGTTTTCAGCCAAGGTAGGCAGAGCTCCTGAGTGTGCCCGCTTCTGCCCAGGTGCAGGACAAAGGGGGGTCTTTCTGCCGTCTACTTATAGCCCCAAAGTTCATCTGCTGTCCTCCGAGTCCGGATAGCCCCCTTCGCTTATTGTCAGGCATGTTGCTGCCCTGTTGATTTCACCAGTGCACAGACTGGGTGCTGGGTTCCCCTCCCCCCTGCCCACAGACTGGGTGCTGAATCGTCCTTTCCCCCCCCCCCCCCCCCCCCCCGGCGCATAGACTGGGTGCTGGTTCCCCCCTGAGCATGTGCTAAGTGCTGGATTCCCCCTGCAAAGAGACTGGATGCTGGGTTCCCCCCCCCATGCATAGATTGGACACCCCTCAATCCCAACCTGCAGCCTCCAGCTGCCCCAGCTCTGGGGTCCCCGCCATGTCTTGGTCCCATTTGCAGTACGGAAGCTGCAGGGGGAGCCCCCCTGCCCCTGTTATATTTAGTGGCTGCGTGCGGCCGCGTGCCTTGGCTACCTGTTGACAGTTTCCAATTACAGCTGCGCCCGGAGATTCGTGTCTTGAGGCCTTTGGCATCTGGGGTCAGCCATAGGCCGCATGCCGGAAACACAGCCAGGACGGAGGGTGCAAAGCCAGCCCTGCT